AAAACAATATTTATTTTTCATAAATGTGAATACGTATAAAGTATTAAGTTAGTATCCTTAATGCAAGTTGAAAGTTCAAAATTTGCATAAGTTATTCTATAAGTATTCTACTTTACAATTATGAATTGAAAGTTTCAAGGTATTTTTTTTTTTTTGGAAAAATAGAATAGTTAATCCTTTCCTCTATTTATCAAAAAACCTCCCAAAAAAGTAAATACATTTAGGATAGAAACTTAAGGCAAGGCCAATAAACTATAAATTCAAATTTTGAGCAAAATAACAACAAATTCTCTTTGAAATTTATAATTCACATGCCCAGTTCTAAAAGAGGACCAGGAAAAATCAGAAATAGGAGAAAGGAAAAGGAGAATGTTATGGAGAGTAAATTTTGACTTTCTTAGTAATTAATTAGAATAACTAAAGATTCTATTAAATATAATGGATATGTGTGGTATAATTTATATTATTTTATATTTAGATATCTATTACATACAATGATTTCTTTTCTTTTGTTTAACTTATAATAAGTTTTGGTAGATTACGATTAGTCGGTGAAATTATGTTAGCTATATATATTATATACTTATATTTTTAGGTTATAGAAAAAAAAAATTTTTTTTTAACCCCCCAAACATTTTGCTTAAGCTCCATCCCTGGCAATAGCAATGTATTTTTAGGAAACCAAGATGGGAACATGAATTGGCAGCACTTCTCAGAATCTTAGCCCTTGCTTCAACACCTGGTGCCCGCATTTCCTAGGAAAAGAAGAAAACAAAAATTCTGATACGCTAAACAATCTGATCAATTTTTATCTTATTATTAAAAATAATTGAAAATTAATAAGATAGTTGATATTTATTATTTAATAAATTAAAATTAATTTATAATTAGATTTTTTAAACATTATAATTAGTCTTTTATCTCAAAATAATTGTCATTTTTTATTTTAAGTTTCTCTCAAATTAATTATTATTTTCTTTTTTTTAAGTAAGCAAATATTTTTTTTGTTTTAACATTATTATTATCTATTTATTTTAATTAATTATTCTATCATGAAAAAATTACTTTATTTTTCACTTTTTTCTAAGGGCAATATAAGTAAATATATAGAAGAATTATCTACTCACATATAAGTTTTATACATTATACTTATATAAAATCTCAATTATTTATCTCTTTACTTTTAATAATTGATATTTATAATGATTTTTTAGATAAAAATAATAATTATCTTTAATAAATACAAATAAATCTTAACTATCAAAAATGAAAAGAGATAAATAATTAAAATTTTATATGAATATGATATGTAAGTAAATTCTTACTTAAATACATAAATGATTCTTAAATTTTTAATTTTTAAAAAATAACAATTATTAAGAAAAGTAATTATTTAAAAAATTATAAATAAATAAATAAATAAATAAATTTCGTGGCCATGCCATTGTCCCATGCAAGGTTTTTAAAACCGGATCGGATTGGTCGGTTGAATCGGTCAGACCGATATCCGGTAATGAAAATGATTTGGTTCATATAAAAAATCGTTTAAGGTCAAAATCGATCAAAAACCGTTTAAAACCGGTCAAAATCGTTCAAAACCGATGAAACCGATGAAACTGGTGAAACCAGTGAAACCAATGAAACCAATAAAACCAAAAAACCATCAGTTCAATTTCTCATGCAATTTTTTTTTTATTTTTTCCAATTTCACCTCACCATTCTTTTCTTATACCGATTTTAACCCTTAATTTTAATAAAATTACAAAATTACCTATCCCTCTCATCAAATTTCCCTTGTTATTTGAACCGATTGGTTCATCGATTCAATCGATTGAACCAATCAAACCGAAAACCGGACCCAAAAATGGTTCAATGACCGGTCCGATTTTAAAAACCTTGGTCCCATGTAGTCACAGCCACTCTCAAATGATCTGTTGCGCTTTCCTACTTCTCTGCCTTCTTATAATTGTCGCCCGATTCTATTTAAGGGCATGTTTGGTTACAGACAAAATTATTTGGAAAATTTGGATTAAGAAAATAGTTGAAAAGGTATTGTATAAAAAGTTAAAAAATTTTGTAATAAAATTTTGTTAAGTTATTAATAGTTTTTTCTTT